TAACATAATAATTATATACTATATATACATATAAATTATATATTACATATAGTATATTATATTTTATTACATATTATACTACATATTATACATTATTTTATATTATTACATATTACAAATTAATACATACTATATTATGCTATTATATTGTATATTAGAATAATAATATAACTAATAATATATAATGTAATTGTAATATGATTAATATATTATACATATAATTATACATAATATAACATTATAAATATTTATAATTTTCTCGATCTTTATTTTTCTGATCTTTATTCATCATATATTTACATGTAATATAATTTAATTGTATAATTATAATTAACTATGTAATCACATAAATTATATACTTATGATATAATCATAACTATAATGTTATGATTCCATAATTATAATTTATATGTACATATAACATTTTCCTGATATTTATTTATGTGTCTGAAATGCATAGAGAACAGAACATCGGGTTAAGTATTGCCTTTCAATCAAGAGCTAATAATAGAAAAGTTTGGTGATCAATAGCTGTCAGTTGAAAGTGTGCACAGTTGAGAGAAAAGTCCTTCAGTCCTTAAAAAGAATCTAGTGTGTCACAGTATCACTGTCAAGTGAGATCTTTTTCCAGAAATGCAATGTCATTTACTTCACTACTCCAATGGGCCTACATGAATATGCTATTACTGTCATTAATGAATTTAATAGACATTCCTGATTCTACAAAATTCGTCAAACCAAAAATGGAAGAGAACTTTCCACAATTAAGTTGGAAGTGTTGACAAAACGTACAAGATCTTATTGAAAACTTGCTCAAAAGACTGAGAATGAAATAAAGTGTGCCCATCGTTATAATTTTCTGCTTCAAAATTATCCTTCAGATACTTCAATAGCATATAGTCATTGTACAAAGTAAGGAGTTTCATTGTGATTTTTGCATACTTGAATAGAAGGTACTTTGATCAAATTCATCCTCCTTTACCCTTTCTTAACTCCCTTTTTAGAGATATTTTCAAGTTCAATAAAGCAATATAAAAAGATAATACTATTGAAAAGGATGAATGAAACTGTCATTATATGCAGATCACACAAGTCTTCATGAAGATAATAAGAAAGAATCTAGAGATAAAATATAAATCAATAACTAATGGAGCAAAGTTGTAGAACATATTGTTAGGATAAAACAAATACTCCTTGAATTCTATATACCAGCAACAATTCAGAAAAAGAATTTAATATGGTACAGTGGAAGAAAGACATACAACACTTGGGAAGAAATCTAACAAATATTGTGTATGGTGTTTTACAGAAAAATACAAACTTACTGAGATAGATTGTACAAGATTTATAGAAAAGAATTCATTCAAACGTTCACAAATTGGACATAGTGAAATGTCAATTTTCCTTGATCATTTTATTCTAACTCCAATCAAAACCCTTGAAGATTTTTATTGGCCCAGATTTGATATGCAAATATTGAGATATAAGAATAGCCAAAGCAGGGCTGGGAAGGTGGCTCAGTGGTAGAGTGCTTGCTTTGCATGCATGAAGTCCTGGTTTTGATTCCTCAGCACCACATAAGCAGAAAAAGCCAGAAGTAGCACTGTGGCTCCATTGATAGAGCACTAACCTTGAGCTGAAGAGCTGAGGGACAGTGCCCAGGTCCAAAGTACAGGTCCCATGACCAATAACAACAACACAAAATAGCCAAAGGACTCTTTAAGAAGGGAATCCACAGTTTAAAGACTTTTATTACTAACTAGCCAAAATTAATAGTCGTGGAAATTAAAATAGTGGAGTGAAGTTGATGAAGATGCATTGTGCTCACAAACGGACATGTTGAATTGAAAGCCCCTTGTACAAGTAGGGGAAGGGGAAACTGGGGGAAGCAAAGGAACGGATGACATTATCCAAAAACAAATGTGCTCATCACCTGATTTATGAAACAGAAAGTCCCTCTGTACAGCATCTCAATAACAAAAATAAAGTTATATATTAACAAAACACCTCAAGAGACTGAGATCTGGGGATCTTGGTTTGAAAATCAACCTGGACAGGAAAGTCTGTGAGACATTTATCTCCAATTAACCTGCAAAAAGCCAAAAATGGAGTTGTGACTCAAGTGGTAGAGCTCCATCCTTGAATGAAAAAGCTAAGGAACAGTGCTGAAGCTCTGAATTCAAACCCAAGTATCAGCACAAAAATATAAAAATCTTATAAAAATTAGTAAAACAAAAATATAACCTCCCCTTCAAAAACAGAACAATGTACAAATAAATCAAGAAAGTAAAAAAGTGAAAAATCCAGACACAGTGCCATGCACCTACAGTTCTCTGATTTATGATTGTATTTCAGGTTATCTGAGAAAGCAGTCTTTTTATTCCATAGTGCTAGGTAAAAATGTAAACCTGTGTCCTACATTATGCCATTAGAAAAAAATGATTTCAGGTAGAATGAAGAATTTGATGCGAAAACTAATGACAGCATGCTAAGATAGACTTTACAAAAACATTTTTAAGTGGTTAGGTATGAGAATATTCTGAAGAGTAAACACGTTTCTTAAACAGGTAACAAAAAGTACTAGCAAAAAATTTGGAGCATCTATCTAACAGGACTGATTCGTCATCCAAATTTAACAAAGACATAGCCAGAATATAGAAGAACTGTTAAAAGTTAAATGAGATGCAGCCACGCTTTAAAATAGTGTAATATCTGAATAATATCTTGCCAATGGAGGCTATCCAAATAGCAAAAATGTAAATATCACTACTCATTAGGAAATGTGTGTTCAAACCACAGCCTAGAATGTGAAGGCTCATGATAAATTTAGACTTGGTTAAATTTGATTTGAAATTCAAATCAGGGCAAGGGGGCATAAAAAAACACAGATCAGAGGTGCAGATAGCAGGGCAGGCTGAGAGTTGAAAAGAACTTAGTCAAATTGAACTTGTAAGAAGAGTATGGATTCACATAACTTCATATTTCACTATTTTGAAGGTAATTCGCAGGCCTCAGTGGTATCTAATATAATATGAATGATATATTAAGTTAAAGGAGATACATAAACAGTACATATTTTATGATTACTTTGATATGAAGTTGGAAAACAAACTTAGTCCATGGTGACATATATTAATAGTGACAGTTGAGCAGAGTGATGACAGGCTTTGCAGATACTGGTGATATTCTATAGATATTCAATAATTACACAGGTATATTTACTTTGAAATAATTTATCTGCCTGTATATACATTTAATATTTATCTACTTCTTATCTTTCTTCAACCAAACATGTATCCACAAAGAAAGCTAAGGCATCAGATATGTCAAAAGAATAATAACTCATTTAAAAGGCAGAGGGGGTCAGGTACCTGTGGCTCACACCTCTCATCCTAGCTACTCAGGAGGTTGAGATCTGAAGTTTGCAATTCAAAGCCAGCCTAAGCTGGAAAGTCTGTAAGACTCTTATCTCCAATTAAGCACCAGAAAACTGGAAGTGTTGTGACTCAAGTGGTAGAGCACTAGCCTTGAGCTGAAGAGCTCAGGGTCAGCATCCAGCCCAGAGTTCAAGCCCCATGACTGACCAACAACAACAAAAAAAAGTCAACGTGGACATGGCCATGTGGAAATTGATAACTTTGACCTCACCAGTTTGAATGGAGTCATTGGGATGGATAGCTAAATGGTCTGGGTTTGGGATATGATAGGAGGTAATGAATATTACCAAGGCACTAGCTCAGATTGTGTTCAAGTTCCCACATGATTTTTACTTGTTCAGTCCATATAAAAAAAAATCTCCAATCCTCCATGAGGTTTATACTGCAAGACTTCGGCTAGATGCTTGAAACTGAGAATAATGTATATGTGTTGGTGAATGTGTGTGTGCATGTTTATTTCTATTCACATACACATATGTATGCAATGTTTTCCCATTTTTACATATCCATGGTAAAGTTTAATTTATAAATTAAGTACAGTAATAGATGAATAATAATCACTAATAATAAAATAGAATAATCCTAACTGTATACTTTAATAAAATTTCCAGTATCACTACTCTGTGCTTTGTGGCCATTTTTAAGTAAGCCAAGGGTAATTTGAACACAAACATTGTGATACCTTAGAAGTCAATCTGATGGCTACCAAGAGACATAGAGAATATGGAGACACTTGGAAGTTGAGCATACAGATACTAAGGAAGTACTTACTATTTTCTCTTATGATTCTAAAATATCTACATAAGTTTTCTTTCCCTTAAAGCCCTAGTCCCTTCTTGAGCATTGTGCTATATCAGTTACTTTGAGTAGCATATTATCAAAATGAGAAAAACCTCCATGGGACTCCCCCAGTCAGTAGTGAAATGAATCTAGAAAATAGCAAGTATTAGGAAATTTCACTATTTTCTTTTAAAAAAATAGTGTCTAAAAGTTCAGGAATCTGAGCCTCACTGCCTAGAGATTTAGTGCCAATAAATGAAAGCGGGAGAAGGAAATCTGAACCACAAAGGATTCTGATGGTACTGAGTAAGCCAACCTGTGAAGGGACACTGGTATATTGTGTGCCAGTCAACAAGGAATGGAGAAGAGATTGAGCAGATCGAAAGAAGAATGATCCTGTCCCCATTCAATTTCTACTTCTGCCTCTCTTACACAGACAGGCTCTCTGAGTCCTAGAATAATATGTCCATGTTTTTCCATTTTATTTTTCTTGCTGCTGTTGTTTGTTTTTGCCACCGATGTTCTCTGTGCTGTGGACTGTTAAGAAAAACAAAGGTTTGCTAATCAACTTTCTTCCTTTTCTTGCCTCTTATCTTCTTTGTTTCTTCTCATCCATTCTTTCCTTTTTCTGCTACCTCCTCATTTCCCTCCCCTCTGTCTTACTATTCCCCTTCTCTTCTTTTCAATGTCTCTTTCCTTACATTTTTCCTCATTTTTTTCCTCCTGTTCCATCTTTGTTTCCTTCTCTTCCTCCCCAATGTTCTCCCTCCCTCCAACTCTCAGATAGAGAAAAGGAAGTTCAACCACAACTCTAACTCTACATACTGTGTCTTCATGGTCAACAAACCCTACGCCATCACCTGCTCTGTGGTGGCCTTCTACATACCCTTCCTCCTCATGGTGCTGGCCTATTACCGCATCTATGTCACGGCCAAGGAGCACGCACGCCAGATCCAGATGCTGCAGCGTGCCGGAGGGGCCCCTTCGGAAGGCAGGGCCCAGCCTGCGGACCAGCAAAGCACCCACCGCATGCGGACAGAGACCAAAGCAGCCAAGACCCTGTGCATCATCATGGGCTGCTTCTGCCTCTGCTGGGCTCCGTTCTTTGTCACCAATATCGTGGATCCTTTCATAGACTACACTGTCCCTGGGCAGGTGTGGACCGCTTTCCTCTGGCTCGGCTATATCAATTCTGGATTGAACCCCTTTCTCTACGCCTTCTTGAATAAGTCTTTTCGACGTGCCTTCCTCATCATCCTCTGCTGTGATGATGAACGCTACAGAAGACCTTCCATTCTGGGCCAGACCATCCCCTGTTCTACTACAACCATTAATGGTTCCACACATGTACTAAGGTGAGTGCGTAGGGAGCTGATGGGTTTGGTTGATTCCCTTTGGAAGGGGTAATGATCCAACTCTATTCCCACAGAATGAATTCCTGCACACGTGAGCAATGTTAACAAACGGTAAAGAAGAGACTATCATTGGGACACGGAGTAGAGTCATAAGGACTCACGCTCTGAAGGGACACTGACCAGCATTCAAATCCAGTCTCCATAGCTCTGTGGTCATTTCACCATCCGGACACTTGGTCACATTTTAGAATTAGATTACATTAGAATCCTTATTTATATAGCACAGCGTTTGTGAAGACAAATGAGCTAATGTATGTATGCTCAGTCACACCTTACAAGCACTTAATAAGTGTTTTCTACTTTATTTAAAGGTAATATTTTAGAGTAGTGGTTAAAACAGGAGCCTTAAATGGAAAAGACTTTATGTTCATTCTCAGTGTCCCTACTAATCAGCTCTGTCTGGAATTTACTTTCAACTGCATAAATAATAATAAATTTATACAGTTAAATGTTTATACAGTTGAAGTAATTTTCCTTAATTTTTCCCTTAATTTTATTTTTATAAATACTGAATTGTATACATTTTTGAAATAAAATAATTTTATTTCAGTAATATAAACAATAATTATACCACCTAGGGTTTGTGACCTTTACACATAATACATTTATAGGGTTTAACACATATAGTGCTCCTAATATTAGTAATACTTTTGATAATGGGACTAGTAAGAGGTACACATTGCCTGATAAACTCAGATGTCAAGAAAATAATATATTAAAATAAATAAAAATATGTGTGCAATCGCATTCACTACATGATACAATAGAGGGATGAACAATTTTGGATGGATTTGTGAGGTGGAAAGATGCTGATTTGGTTTAAGGATCTCAGAGAAGTCTGCCCAGAGCATTATTTTATAATGAGTTTGAGACAAGGAAGAGGTATCAGGCAAACATGCCAGACAGAGAGCAGCATGAGGAGAGAAATGGGTTGTGAAGATGAGGAGAGACACACATAGGAGTGACTTTGGCTTGTTGGAACCGAATGCTTAATGACTAGTATGATGTGTCTTTCATGAGAATGTTTTTGACCACCTCAGCTTGAGGTCTTCTGAGTTAGGAAAAGCCATATGTTATAAGTATATGTATTCTGTAGATGATTATCAATTGGTGAAAGTGAACTAAGCAGCCCAAGGACATTTATGGGATGGAGGGAATGAGAGAGAAAGAAGGAACAGCTGACATGAGGCTAAAGGAAAGAAATGTACACATCACCCAATTTGTAAAAAAAAAATAGTTTTATTGTTGAAGGTCATAGAGTTCATAAGCATAAGATAATGATGCCCATCATTGTGGAGATTAAAAGATGTTTGTGACTTTAAAAAATTTTAAAGGCAAAAAAAGAAAGCAGGAATAGTGGTGTGATATAAATGCTGGGTCTTAGCAGCTGCTTAGATTTTTAGCTATCAGTCTGAGCGGATTTGAAGCTAAAGTCTAGCATGGTATTGGGGTGCTGGTTGGTGAAAGAACCTCAAAGGATATCCTCTAGAAAGGATAGTGTTCTCTTTTTTGTTTGGGGTTTGTTTGTTTTTTGTTTTTGTTTTTGTTTTTCTGGTAGTCCTAAGACTTGAACTCAGGGGCCTAGGCACTATCCCTCAGCTTCTTTTGTGCAAGACCAGTGCTCTACCACTTCAGCCACAGTACCATTTCTGGCTTTTTTTCTGAGTAGTTTATTAGAGATAAGCATCTCACGGACTTTCCTGCCTGGGTTGGCTTTTACCGTGTTCCTCAGATCTCAGCTTCTTGAATAGCTAGGATTATAGGCCTGGCTGGGGTCCTCTTTTAATTATTGTGCTTTACTGAATATCACAGAAAGAATGTAACTATCACAAAGTATGTGTACAACAACTTCTGTGTGGTATGGCAGAGAGATTTGAGCTATTTAAGCTATCAGGTTAGGTCCAGGTTGTTGACCACTTATAAACAGCATCTGTTCAGGCAATGTATTTGCTAAATTAGTTGTCTTGAAGTTGGTGGTGGTATTCTATAGATACTATTGTAGAATGAATTTGGGAGTTTCTAGAGCAGTTCAAGAATAGCTAATTTTCTAATACTGTACTATTTTTCCTTGCTGCTTTTCATAATTTGTAATGTGGTTGTCAAGCAAAGATGCGCTTGCCATAGTGAATTCCCCAGACTTCTTCAGGAGGTCAGCAAAGTGCCAGGATTTAGTTGAAGTATTTTTCTTTTGGGGACAGGGAATCTGATAAGTGTAAGAACAACTGACAGAGAAGGCTGAATCTACTACAAACCTGAATTTACTACAGGTTAAGTCTGATGGGGACAGAAATTCTGTCTGGTTGACTCGCTGCTATCTATCAAATCCCCAACATATTGCCTGAGATATATAGGAATTTAAACTCTCAGTGAATAAATGAACAACTTATAAAATTACTTGTCTAGGTTATTTATTTTAGCTTGACATAGCTTCAGAAAAAATCGGTATTTTTCTTTCAAATCCCACAAATTACAGAACATCAACCAGTTCAGATGAGGAAATATAAAAACAAAACAACAAGTTTCTTTTCTACAAATGTTAGTTATTTCCAGAGACAACAATTCACCTAAGTCTGGTAGTGTCTCCAGCATTTTTATAAACATTCTTAAAAACTCACAAGTTTGGGCTGGGAAGTTGGCTCAGTGGTAGAGAGCTTGCCTTGTATGCCTGAGGCCCTGGGTTCAATTCCTCAGCAGCACATAAGCAAAAAGAAAAAAGCCGGAAGTGGTGCTGTGGCTCAAGTGGTAGAGCTCTAGCCTTGAGCTGAAGAGCTGAGGGACAGCACCCAGGCCCAGAGTTCAGGCCCCACGACCGGACCCCCCCCCAAAAAAAAACAAAAGAAAACTCACAAGTTTATAGCTTATTCTCTTATTATTTTATAATAATGGGCATAGTCTATATGTAATGTTTCTCTGCCTTTTGCATTTTATTCTGATGTTTTTGATGTTTCTTTTTTTGCTTTTTGGTGGTCCTGGAGTTTGAACTCAGCACTTCTCACTTGCAAAGCAGGCAATCTACTTACCATTTTTGCTATTATTATTATTATTTGGCCTTTTTATTGTAAAAGTACTGTACAGAGGGTTTACAGTTTCATGAGTAAGATAATGAGTACATTGCCTATCGAGCATTGTTAGCCCCTCTTTTGTTTTCCCCTACCATCCCTTCCCTACCCCACCTTCCCAACTCCCCCCACCCAAGTTGTAAAGTTCAGTTTTCAACACAATATCTTGTACGTCTCATCGTTACCATGGGTCAGCCTGTATCCTTGTTTCAGCATTCTGTTATTTCCCTTCCCCTCTCCAAATTAGAAAAATGTATATACTTGATGCTATGGTTATTTTTGAGAGAAGGTTGCACATTTTTTTTTTTTGTCAGTTGTGGGGCTTGAACTCTGGGCTTGGGCGCTGTCCCTTCACTCTTCAGCTCAAGGCATGAGCTCTGCTTGAGCCACAGCGCCACTTCCGGTTTTCTAGTGGTTTATTGGAGATAAGAGTCTGACGGACTTTCCTACCCGGGCTGGCTTTGAACCACGATCTTCAGATCTCAGCTTCCTGAGTAGCTAGGATTACAGGCATGAGCCACCAGCACCAGCTGGGGTTACACTTTTTAACTGGGCTGGATTAGAATCTGTAATAATCCTGATCTGCCTCTTCAGTAGCTAGGATTGCAGGCATGAGCCATCAGTGTCAAATTGTATTCTTCAACAATACATTTCAGAGATAATTCCACTGGAGAACATATAGATATTCTTTTTAACTGTTCCATAATCTTCTGTACTAAAAATACATGTTAAAATTCTTATAATTATCTCCATTAGTAGGTGTGTAGGTGTTTCCAACTTCTGCTATTACAAAACATAATATTCTAATGCTTTTGAATACTTTCTTTTTCAGATAGCTACCAAAAGTGAAGTTGTTTTGTTAACCTGAATGTCCAGCTATGATTTTTACCATAAAACGGACCTGCTTTAACCCTGTAGCAATATTCTCATCAAGAGAGTGTGAGAATGTTCTTGACTCATCTCTCCCACCCATACTATTATCAATGTTTTGTCATTTTGTTAATTTTGAAACACTTATGTAATTTGCATTTTACCAAATAATTTGTCAGGTTGTACCTATTTTAGATTAGTTCTTGACATTTTATCCTTATATGAACTGCATCATTCTATGTTTGACTCTTTTGTGAGAGCTTCATCATAATTTTTCTTAATTTTTAAGTGTTCTTTATCATATTCTGGATATCAATTCTTTGCTATGTAATTGGCATACACATCTTCCCTATCTTTTTTTTTGGGGGGGGAGGGTCCGGTTTGGGGCCTGAACTCTGGGCCTGGGCGCTGTCCCTCAGCTCTTCAGCACAAAGCTAGCGCTCTACCACTTGAGCCACAGCACCACTTCCAGCTTTTTTCTTTTTGCTTATGTGGTGCTGAGAAATCGAACCCAGGGCTTCAGGCATGCAAGGCAAGCTCTCTACCACTGAGCCACCTTCCCAGCCCCATCGTCCCCACCTTACTGTTTTGTTTTAATTTTGGTTAACTTTACTTTGTGTGTGTGTGTGTGTGTGTGTGTGTGTGTGTGTGTGTATGTGTGTGTGTGTGTGTGTATCTGTGTGCGCGCGCACGCTACTACTAAGGCTTGAACTCAAAGCCTAGGCTCCGACCCTTAGCTTTTGCACTAAGACCAGCATTTTGCCACTTTAGCCACTGCTCATCTTCAGGTTTTTGGTGGTTAATTAGAGATTAAAGTCCCACACAGACTTTCCTGTCTGGGCTGGCTTTCTTTTTAAAACAAAAATTTTATTGTGAAAATACCATATAGAGGGATTACAATTACATGGGCAAGATAATTAATACATTTCTTATCAAGCATTATTGCCTCCTCCTTTGTTTCCCCTTCCCATCCCTTCCCATTTCCTCCCCACACCCCATCCCCGTCCCCCT